TTATGCCTGTCCTCTGCAATAAGAAATTACAAGCTGCCTGTGGTATACTTCACACAAGGGACACTACTGTGCCTCAATGCTGGATCTCACACCTACCTCCCAAACCAACTGCAAAACTCAGTACTGAGCATCTTGAGAGAGGGGTAAACCCAACTCTTCAACAGCTGGTGATGGATATAGGTTAAAGTAAACCTCAAAGTCACCCCCAGATGGGAATTCCTGCTTCAGCCCTCTCCTTGGCATTGCTGTCAGGAGCAGAGAGAGCTCAGTCACCCCTCAGTCTATGAGCTGTGCTTCATTTCTAACTGCATCTCACACAGCCTGGATGAGCTGCAGGAGCAATCTACACAGGGTGAAAGGCACCCCAGAGATCACTCTGTACAAGCAGCAACAAGTTTCATAGACTGGCTGCACCAGACTTACGAGACTATAAACTAAGCAGGAGGACCCTCACACTGTCTCCAGGTGCTCCCCTTTACATATAAATTAGCAATCCGCAGTTAGTTTGCATACAGGTTAATATGAATTAAAATAAAAACCTTGATAATAAAAATATATAATATACACATTGATCAACAGCAATAAACTGAAAACACTAGAATGTAACAGCGGCTGTAATTTGGCACAAAATAAAAATGCACAAAGGTCTAGCACTGTAAAAATAAAAATCTTCCCCCCCAAGTAAGAGAATGTTATTAATAATGTTATTAATCCTGATCAAATCCTGTCACATGGGAATGCAGAGATATAAAAATACTGTACATACAAGATCCCTTTTACAGAGTGAAGCAGACTGCAGCATCTGTGTCTTCTCTCCTTGCCCCCAAGAGGAGAAATCCAATGCGTTTGTCCCCGAACAGCCGATATTTTCCCACCCCACTGAAGTTCAAAGCTATGAAGTTCTTTTAAAAGGAGCAGAGATGAAGCTGCTGGACCCGCGGGCGTGAGGCCGGCCGCTGCTCGCTGCGGGCAGTCCCCGCTCAGACAGTTCCACAGCCAGGGGACTCAGCCCAGCCTGCTGCAGACATCCAGCAGCCCTGCTCCTAAGGCACGATCACTCGGGCCCACCTCACCTCTCTTCTGCAGAACATTGTGCTTTGGACGGAGGCGAGGAGGTGACGAGAGCTCTTGCTGGTGAGATGTGCCTACCGTGGAGATTAGGAAGTGCCAGGATTTCACGGTGACAAATTTTCCATAGGGTGCCTGTTGCCTTGCTAATGCAGAGCCAGAAAGGGGTGTGAGACCTGAATGACCTGGGCAGGGGTCCCAGCAAGGGCTCTAACGTGCTATTAAACCCAGAGCAAAACCACAGGCAAAGCTACTGAAACTTGGCAAGAGACGACAAGGAAAAAAGAAAGTTACTTACAACATTTTTGTCACAGAAAGGAAATATTGCTCTGATTGTTTTTAAACCATGAAATTCATTTGTGCCTCTCACAGGGACACGTGCAAGGTGCCAATTTTGCATCTCACCTACACAAGCTGCATCTTTTTGACTCTCAGCAGATCCATGTCTGCTGAGCTCAAGTTGAACTGGCTCCTCATTCATCCATGATCTTATCTCAACTCTTGTTGATTTCAATGGGACCATGGAATCTCATTCCACAAGAGGTTAACTAAACATCCAAATCCAGCTGCAACCTTTGCCTCAGGAAGTCTCTGACCTGCTGCCTGCATGAAGCCCACAAGGTGTATTAGAGGAACAGTTGCTCTGTTTATACTCCATTTACTGCATGCTTTCCTCAGCTACCATTCCTAGCATTTCTGTCTCAATAGGTGTCAGCCCTTTCTAACAAAACCCCAGGGCTCCTCTTTTCATAAGGGCTATGGAAAAATAAAACAGGAGAAACAGTTACAAGGAACAGCAAGTTAATAAAGGAAGGGAGTAAGAATAAAAAGGTAAGGACTAAGAGGACAGAGCAAAGCAGCCCATAAAGCATTTAGCGCTTCCTGAAGGCATCCAAGGAAGCAGCAGATGCTCCTGGGATCTTTCCCTTGGGCTCTTGCCTCTTGGTGACACAGCTGGAGAGCTTGGCTGGCCCAAAGAGGCTATTAAATTAAGGAGATCCTGCAGCTCCACAGAGGAGGCACTGAGGTGTTCTGCAGACTTTACCCAGCTTCCAAACAAAATCAACTGGACATCTCTCATCATATAATTTCCACTTACTCCCATTGAAGTCAACAACTTGGATACTCCCAAGCATCCCTCCTGAATTAATAGATTCTTCATATGTCAGTGGGCTCAGGCCCTTCATGACTTTTCTGCTTAGAGTAAGACAGAAGTTACATGAACCAAGTGCAGTGCAGGAAAGCCCATGAGAGACAGCTACAGAAGCCCAGGGAGGGCTTAATTCCTAGATGGCTGTTTCCCCTTGCCTTGTGCAAGGGGTCACCATTCTTTCCCCCCATAGGGCAAGTACAAAGTACAACCATGTCCTGATTTGGCAGGATTTTTCCCTGTCCAATTTTCACAAGTGCACCAGATGATACAAGCAGCAGGGCTTGGACTGAGATATTTATAGAAGTGTTTGGACACAAAAACCCCACCAGGCATCCTTTTCACAACCATAAACACGCTCCAATGACAATGGAAGGGGAAAATTCCACAGAAAAACAAAAAATTAAAAATGGTATTTTCAACAGTAGAAATTTTGACTGTTTCAGGAAATACAAAAATAAATTTTTACAAAATAAAATCATTGTAGATGAGGATGCCACACAGGCCCAAGTTATCAAATTTTAAAAAGAAACCCAGAACAGTCTATGTGCTTCTTTTTCCAGATCTTTTAAAACAACATTAACACTTCTGAATGGACACAGATGGAACAAGAAGAGGGCACAAGGCAAAGACAGTAAAATCTAGCCACTGGCTGGGATATTTCCTGAGAAGAAGCAGCAAGCAAGCAAGAGCTTGCGAGTCACTTAAGGGTTCATGCAGCTGAGCAAGCTCATAGTTTGGAAGCAAAGGTATGCAGCTAAAGGGATGCTGCCAATGCACAAAGTCCTACGTTACAAGATTTTTGTCTAGTGTATGCCTGGAGCAGTAGCCTATTGGGTTGTCTGGTTCTTCACAGGTAGTGAACTGCTGCCAACAACCCAGTGGGGGTAGGAGACAGAAGCTTCTGGAGTTGCTGGTCAAGGCAAGACAAGGTCTTGTGCTGTGGTATTAAGACATGCCCTTGCAACTTAGGTGAAATAGGAGCTGCCTTGTCTTCCTAGAGATTTATCTCAGTAACTATCCTGAACAAGAGGATAGGACAACAGCCACAGTTAAAGCCTTACAGCTGCCATGGGACTTGAACAGTGCATTAGTGCAAGAGCAGAGAGCCATGACCTTTTCCAATTTCCTATCAGTGCTCCACACCAGCATGTGCTCTCCATAAAGCTCTAGCTCCTTTCCCAGGCAGATCAGTGGCCAAAGCAAGCACAGTCACACCTCTAGCTCACCTCCTCAGCAAAGCCAGCAGCAGACTGGCAGCTGGCAGCAAAAGACAAAGAGCATGGTGGGACAAAATCAGTGCTGGGCATCAAGGAAGCTGGGCTGCAGAGGCAATGCAGCCAGGCTTGCTGCCATGACTGGCAAATGAATAACTAGCCTGTACTGGCTGAAAAGACTCCAAACCAGCATCCAGGTGCTGAGCTTTGTAGTTTAAAAATGCACCTGGAAAAAAACAGGAAAAAAAAAAAAAGAGAAAGACAAAAGGATTGAAACGAGAGGCCAAGGGAAAAGGCTACTTGTTTTTTCAAGAGAAGAATGATTTCCAAAGAGTAGGTGGAAAACAAGCCACTTTGGGGGAAAAAAAAAAAATAATGAAAAAAAAAAAAAAAACCTAAAACACTCCATGGGCAAATCTATACATGCAACTTAAACTTGTAGACCCTGCTATGCCCTAGAGAGCAGCAGTTTTACTCTGACTGGAGTCTTCCTGGGGTGCTGGATGGAGCAGTGTAGAGGGAAGGCAGTCAGCATGTCACTGCGTGGACTGTTTGGCAATCTGTGTGGAGCTCGAAGTTGCCAGTCACTGTTGACTTTGGATTCAATGCCCACAGGGCCCTCCCTCCCATGTCTCCAAGACATATGCAAGTTCAGATATAAGTTACTATACTCAAGGGCATCAGCAACTGAGCTGGAGTGAGAGTAGTTCCTCCTTGGCTTCCTCCACACCCAAGCTCAAAGCAGGTGACCACAGAGGTCCCTTCAGGCATTAAATCTGTTTATATGATTCTTCTCAATCCACAACTCGCAGCTTCATCAACTCCCTGGCACGTCTTAAAAGTCACACACACAAGGTCTAATTTCAGTTGAAATTGTATTTCCTCTTAATTGTTCTATCCTATATCCTAGAGCTAAATGCCTAGTTTCACATTCTACCCAGATTGCTGGAAACCCTAGAAAGAAATATAGCAGTTAAGAAATTTTGTTCTATAGGCAATTTCTTTCTCACCAGTCCCGGGCTCTGGCTTTTGCTGGTGTACATTACAAAGATCCTCTCTCCCTCCTGCAAGCTAGGATGACTGTCAGGGTGGCTCAGCTGTGTTGCCCAGCACAGGAAGAAACACGTTTCCTCATATAACTCTCTTTGTAAATCATCTTAATACAGAAAGGACTTGAACTTCTGACATTCTCCTCCACTGCATTAAACCCAGCTCATACCTTGGATTTTTCTCCCTGTTGTACCTGCGTCTTTGTCCTATTTGCCAAAGCTCCAGCCAAAGTTTAAAAATTAAAATAAAAGGAAAGCCTCAAAAGAATGGAAGAGGGAGCTGTTAAGTTAGCTAGTTGATAGACACAGCTCAGTGGCAGCTAGATTGCACTGCGCTGCTTAAGCTATCCCAGATCAGTGAGATTGAAACGAACAATGTTCCTTAATATGATGACACTTAAAGAGGAGATCCTGAGAGTGGAAAGTGGACCTCCCACTGGGTAAGGAATCAAGAAAGTTGCCTGGCAATTCCAGTAATGTTTGCTACAGGAGAGTCAAACCAAAGGTAGGCATAGTTTACTGCTTCCTACGGGAACCTGGAAAGCAAAACAGAAAGAAAAACACCTGTAAGGATAGATCCTGGTGAAGAAAACACTACCTGCGGTCATCTTTTACTTGCCCTGCCCTTTTGGATGTCCCTATGACTTCCAGGGTATTGGCAAAGTCAAATGCCACAATGGAAACTGTATGTTAAGATTTCTGAAGTGAAAGGAAGGACAGGTCTGCAAGACAGGCAGACATCTGCACTGCTTCTAGGCACCTTGCACTGCTTCTATGCCACCTTGCATAGTCTCTAGTACTAAAGAAAAGTGAACGAGCACTGGGCTTACAGGCACTGTAAAGTGCCAAAAACTCTCTAGCTCATTTGATAAAGAGACAATGCAGAAGTTTTCCAAACTTTCAGTTTTGGGAAGTGTCCACATTTAAGTCACAATCAGCAGAGCTGGAAGAAACCTGAGTGACTGAGTCGAACTCTGGCTGCCCCTTTCTTCCCCCAGAGACTCTACAGGTAACTCAGAGAATAGGTATTTGGCTTTAAAACTCTGAGGGGGCGACCTTAACCACACTGCTCTTCTGCCAAGTGATTTCAGGAAACGAGCCAACAAAGCAGTGTTGAGATGCTGCAGGAACAAAACAAGCCTGGCCTCAGGACAAGCTTCTGTCTGATCATCCCAGCCAGCTTCCAGACAGGTGATACTGTGAGGTTTTGCCTTGTATTGGATTGTTTGATACTAGTGAGACACCTAAAATCCATCATGTCATCGTCTTTATGTTATTTCTCCTTCATGTACTGCCTGGATTTACAGTCATTCATCATTAAGAGATTACAGAAGACAAGCAAAGGGCAGTTTGACAAAACCAAGGCAAATATCTTTTTAGTCTCTCAGCCTACAGCGTGCTCAGCAAGTACAACTCGAGCACTGCTTGGCATCACCTGCCTGCTGGGGCACATCCACTCCGCCTCACTGTTAGCATCTCTTTCAAACATCCAGACCTGCAGGCTGAGGAAAACAGCCCACACTAGCCTCAGTGCTGGGGCAACCATGGGCTTGCTCCTACCTTTAGGAGAATGCTCAGGTCTGGGGAGCTGGCGCAAGGGGCTGGGCTGGCTTGTGTAATACCGAGAACGTTCAAAGTCATCGAGGTGAGGCTGTGACCTGCCAAACAGTGAAAAAAAAAAAAATCAAGTTTTGGGAAAAAACCTCCAAGGCATAACAGCATGGCAAAAGCAACGTCTCAGATGACTGCTCTGTCCCTATCAGTTTTATGCAAACTGCGTCTGGCCCAGACTTTCCACCTGCACACCAGATCCTCCAAGCACAGCCCATTACTGGTTCTGTGGTGAGAAATGCAGAATATTTACTATTTCTCATGGACCACTTTCATTTAACTTGTTTCAAGCTGTCAGGAAATAAAGAATTTCCACTTTGAGGTTTGATGAAAACATGACTCAAAGTGAAAGAGAAACATTTTAAAGTGTTCATTGCTTGCCCACTTTTAATCCCAGACCCTCAGTCTCCTTGCACACACAATAAACTGCACAACGTGTTATTTCTTTTGCAATTCAACAAGAATTTCTAGGCTTATATCAAGATTGGCAATCAAAGCCACTGGGGTGACTTCCAGGGTGCAGTTGCTCATCAGAAGTGCTAGGCCAAGGTACTGAGTGATTCAGAAGGGCTACAGAACATTCCCATCAGCTCTGGGATGAGGCACTCCAAAGCACTAAGTATTTGCTCACAGAGGGGTGTCCACACACAGCAGCAGGAGCAGTGCACAGGGCTCAACTGGGGAGCAGGGACCCAAGGGAGCAGCTGTGCAAATGCATCATGATTAGTCCTTCCTGCCCAGAGATGACATTTGGTTTCACATCCCCAGAAGGTCTTTAACCCTCTCATTGTTTCTCTGTCATGTAAAAAATGTCACTGCACAAGCTCATCGATCTCTGTCAGTGCCAGGCAGGGAGAAGATGCAGACAAGCACCACGAGCACAGCGAGTGACACACGTCACCAAGCACCTCACCAGCCCCGTGCCCTCCATCTCTTTTCAGTGCTAAAACCTCTGCTGGCCACCAAGCCCCTTGAGGGTGGGTCAGGCTGGTTGCCCCACAACTCTGTCATAGGGCTGAGCTTCTGTGCAGCTTCCTGACTGCATTTCCCCATTTTTCCCAGCCAGTCTGAACTCACCTTGAAGACCTGTTGCCTCTGTGTCGATGACTTTCAGGCCCTTCTTTTGACCTTGAGCGCGTGGACTCGCTCGCATCGTGCTGATGGGAAGAAGGGAAAGCAGCTCACCTGTGTGCCTTGCAAGAGGCCAGCCAGTGCTCTGAGGCTGCCACAGCTCCACGCACTCCTTCCGTGCTCAGATTCTGCACAGCACTAACTACAGCCAGCCATGGGCAAACAGCAGCACCAGGACTAGTTTCCAGTAAATGAAACTCAGCCTTGCTGAGACAAACTCTAATTTTGCTCTAAATACAAGCCAGCACTGGGGGACCCACCCCAAAGCTGGGGTCAAACACTGCGGTCAGTGTGTGATGACTGTGCACATGGCTGGGCTGAGCACAAGGGACCAGCTGCAGGCAGGTTGCTCCTGCAACCACTTAAACACAGTAAGGAAGCTGAAAACATCAGAGCTACCTTCAACTGGCCCCAAAATTAACACAACGCCCCCTTTAGCACCTTACCAGCAAAGACCATGAAATCTGTTTCCCACCAACTTCCACATCAGCTAGGCTAACCTCTGCAGTATTACTCATACAAAAACCTAGGCTGGAGTCACTCAATCCTTTCATCACAGAGCCAGGTCTATTATGAAGCTGAGTGACAACTGGAGTAGCTGCACTGCCTTAGACCTGCAGTGCACAAGCAGAACCAATTACTGCTTTTACTGCTGCCAGCTGGGATTTCATCAGAGGGAAGGTCCTGCACCAGGAGGGCTGACAGTGCTTGAGGGAGGCTACAAGGCACTGGGACATTCAGTGCCAACCTCTAAGGCTAGGGCTCACCTTTCTTGAGGCTGAACTCAAAGAGTAATCTAGAAGGTGGCTCCAAAAGGCTTGGGAACCAGCTGAGTAACAGGTGGCAAGACTCTCTGGATGCATGAATTTGGATTGTTTCTTTTGCTCTCACCACACACACCCTCACCTCCCTCTGTAAATGGGAATAACACTATAGCACTTCATTTGTGACACCTCCTGAAGCTTGACATACCTTCCAGTCTTGATCATGCCTCCTCTTTTCAAGGGAAGACTTTTCTCTCTCCTTCCCTTTCTTGAAAGCCTTTTTCTCCTCAGCCATCAAGAGTCGGGCAATTTCCTAGAAGGGAAGATACAGAGAGTGTGTCAGACTTACTGCTCTTGGGGGTGTGAGTTATTTCAACCCTTTCCTATGGGCAGCTGCTGAACAGGAAGGGTGCAAAGCCAGGATTTCACCCATCTGTGATTAGAAATGAATTGACAGAGCAGAATTAAGACTATGTGCAGTATGCCTAGTGGATCTTTGATTTGCCAGAACTGCATGTGCAGAGCCATTCTGCCCTTCATACCTTTTCCTTCAGTGCAGAGGGGTGTTTGTGTTTGATGTGTGTGCATGTTCACCTCACAGCATCTGATAGCCTCCCCTGGGACTCAGTTACAAGAGATGCTCTTACAGACATGAACTTACTTCCTCTGCCATGGCTGCAACAGGCAATGCAACACTCTGCTTGACCAGCCTGACCATATACATGAAAACCAGCAAGGAGCAAACCCCACTGGAGCCCTGACCTTCCACTACAAGGGGGGGAACAAAAACTACAGGGTCAGAGGGGACAAGGGGGGGTTTAGCAATTTCCACAAGTAAAGGAATGCTACAAACATTTTACTTGTTGCTCACCTCATCTTGGGCTACTTGAGCTGCCTTCTGATCTGCCTCATTACCCTGAAAAAAAAAAAAAAAAAAAACCAACACAAAAACCAAAGAAACAGTAGATAAAAAAAAAAAACAAACCTGGGGACAAAAGGATAGTCCCTCTAAATTATCCATACCCACTAATCTACTGGGCAGGGCAAGTAGTTTCCCACACAAATAGGCTACATCCTCTCCAAATATTCTTTGCTAGCTCAACACTCACCTCACAACCTGACACCAAACTGTCATTTCAGCTTTTCAGCTGAGTTTTGCCCTCATCTACCTGCCAGGCCCTACCACAATGCATTGCCCACCCTGCAACCTTCTACTTACCAGGAGCTCTTCCTCCTGCAGCTTCCGAGCCATCTCTGCATCAGACAACTCCTGTTCCCTTCGGGGTGCATCATACATGGCTTGCTGTGTCCCCCTCAACCTGGCGCCTACAGAATTGTGAGAGGAAACAATCAACTCACCCATTTCCCAAATGCTTTGGTAAGGAAATATCCATCATCTCCTCAAAAGCCCCCTGCAAAAGCCCCACTCGAGGGGAGCAGAGACCATGGCAATGTACCTGCCAGCCAGCTGGTATTAGAGTACTTTTGCCCAAGGTGCAGCACGCACCTTAGGGAGGCCTCTCTGTACATACAGAAATATCTGGTACACCATGACAAAAGCAACCATGTGGCAGAAGAGGCCATGTTCCTTGAAGCAGTCTCTGCCAACACAGTGATGCTAGCAAAGGAATCTAGTTCATCCCCACACTCTGCATTGATACAGATACACTGGCAAAACTGGGCAGCAGAGAGCAGCCCAACATCTGTCATGAGCATGGCAGAGTCTGCAAACCAGCCTCTGGAGCAGCACGGGCTGCAAAAGCTGCCTGGGACTCACATGAGGTTTCTGACAATTTCTTTCAGGGGCTGATCCATGAATTTTATAATTCACAGTGAGAAAACAGCCACGTAAGCACTTTTGAAGTTTATACAAGGTTCAGTTCCGGCTTTGAGTATAAAGTTTTGTTTATGTGTTTTTTAAAGTTAAAACATCTTCAAGTGATTTGAAGTGTTGCATTCTAAGAGTCTCTCCATAGTTTATTTGTACCAGGCCATCAAAGGAGTCTCACTGTATTCCTGTTATAAAATGCATGACTTCACTCAATGAATGCCTTCTCCTTCCATCTGCACTCTGAACCGTATTGTTCAGACATCTCAGACATCTAAATGAGCTTTCTGCTTTATGTCTGAAGCACACAAATACTCTAGATATCCACCTGTCTCCCTTCCATCCCAAACTCAGAAAATACATTTCAGGCTTCCAGCTAATATAATTTGTGCTTTTATTATAACTGCACAAATCGCATCATAAATGCACAAATGTTACATCTCACTGGGTCACCTATCAGTTTTCTTCTCATCAAGTAAGACCAAAGGGGAAAAACAGAAGTAACCAACTGACCTCAAAAAAGTTTTCTGTGCATCTCTGGATAAACTACCACCATACCACACCCAGCATCCTGAAGACTTCAAACTTCAGAGGGCAAGAGACCTCACATACCAACTCTGAATGAAACTGTGGAATAGGAAACCACCTCTTCTTCAGGTATTAAAGGAAGTGTGTGGGGGCTTTTCTGCTTTTTGTTTGAGTCAACTGATCAACAACCTTAAACAGCTAACACCCCTCTTAAAAATGATCTTAGCATAAAAAGAGAAAACTTCAGCTCTGGCATGTTACAGTTAAATGTATGACCTGGTCTTCCCCTGCACAGTGTGAGCAATCCAAGCTGTGAAGAGCTGCAGTCCCAGGCCAGCACAGAAACTGGAAAAAAAGCACCAGCCTGGTGACAGTTAAGTTATTCAGAGCATTTCCAAGGCCAAGGTAAACAGTTTTACCATGCTGGAATGAGCAACAGCATGGCCAGCGGGCTCACATACACCATTGCCTCTATGAAGAATAAAAGTAAGCTTCCAGGAATTGTTTGCTGGCCAGCCCGAGGCTGAACTTTACACACTGATCAGTGCCAGGCTTCATATGTTCAGAAGACAACAATAAATGTTATTTCCACATCACATCTGCCTGCATTCCAGGTTGCACAAGGCCCACCATGACCACCGGCCACAGGAAGAGGATGTGAGCTTCTGGCTATTTTGACTCAATATGATGGGATACTGAGTCACACTTGGACCCACATTGTATCAGAACAAATCATGACTTACTGATTATATGAAGACCTAATAAACACCTTCCACTTCCCCAAAGAGAACTTGCACATGATGAAGCATAGCTTTCCCAGCATCTCCAGAGACATACATTATCACAACCACCTTACACAAGTGAAGACAACTTAGATGGCTTAAAGCACAAGTTTCCCATGCTGAAACACATAGATCCATGTCTCTAAACTTCTGCTTTCACTAAGACAGGTCACCCCCACTCCCAGTGTGGTTTTGAAAACAGAAAGATGGATCTGGAGCTTAAAAGCCCACCAGTCCACAAGTATTATGGAATAGCAAGAAGTACAAGGCCACACATTTCTTAGAAAAATCTGCTCATAGAGAATTTGACAAGAACCCCATCTGACAAATATTGCTCAGCCAGACACATAGTGCCACTGCTGAACTTGCCTGCAGTGAATTGATTGCATTGCCCACAGGGCTTTCAATAGGGATTGGATGGAAACTGCTGGCTTGTTAGCACTCAAGCAAACTGTCCTCACTTACAGCCCAGCAACCCAAATCAACTAAACAAGATCTGATTGTAACACTTGCTCTTTGGGGTGTGGGCTTTTTTTTTTTTTTTTCTTCTTCTCTCTTCTGTTTTGTTTTTTTGTTGTTCAGGTGGAGCACAGCTTATCGTGAAGATAAAAGTTTTTGGGGTTAATGCTGTTTTTTTTTGTTGTTATTTCTTAGCACATTAGATACTGAGAACACCATTTCCAACAATATTATCTTATTCATCCTCTCCAATGCCATGGGACATGTCAGGAAATAAACAGAGCAGGAATATTAATGGATAAGAAGAATCTCACTAAAAAAGGAAGAAACCCAGGCAGGATTCACCATGGACACTTTGCAGTGTATTGGAGACAAGCACCTTCAAAGGAACAACATAGATTTTGGACACTGGGATGGGGGATGCAAAGATCCATCCTCACATGTATGTGCACCCTCCCCATCACTTGGTTACCTGAGTCTCGCTGGCAGTCTCCAGCCTTTCCCTGGGTCACAGTGTGTAGGGAGGGGGGAGGCCTCCTGAGTCCTGCCCTCCTGCAGTCTCTCTCCTCATCCCTCCTGTGACTGTCTCTAGGTTCAGAGTCATGGAGCTTCTCATCATGCACCATCCTGTGTGGTGAATGACCCTGATGACGAGATTTGTGCTTTTCAGGGCGCAGCGGGCGGCTGCCGCCCTGATGCCAGGTATCCTGCTCAGCCTCCAGTTCCACCTCAAGAAGAGGAAGGTGCTTTTCTTTGTTGTGCTTGGTTGGCTTTCTCCTGCGCCACGCCTGGTCTGCAAGTCTGTGCTCTGACTCCAGGTCAAGACTGAGAGGTCTCAAAGCCTTCTCCTTGGCAGCTGCTCGCCTCTCCCACAGCTCCCAGCTGTTGCTGTGGTCGCTGAGCTCAGCCTCTCTTTCCAGGTCGAGGCTAGGAGGTCTCCTGGACCTCCCCTGGCTGGGCGATTTCCACATCTGCTGATGGCCATTGCTGGTCTCCCTTGGTTGAGGAGACCCCCGCCAACGGCCTGAGTGGGACGGTCCGTGCTGGGAGTCGCCGTCGGGCAAAGGTGAGGGCACCTCTCGCTGCTCTCTCCGCCGGCACCCGCGCCCGTCACCACCGTGTGACCTGTGGCCCTCAGGCACCTGCTCTCTGGGGACACTCCTGGGGTGCTCTGGGCGGCGAGGGGGACAAACAGGAAGCGGGTTAGTGCCAGGGGGTTTAGCGGCGGGTACTGGTGGCACGCGGGCGAGGGAGCTGGACGCAGGGCGAAGCTGGAGGTGCAGGCAAAGCACGGCAGGATCAGCCCAGAGAATGGGGATGTAATGCTTGCAGGATGTCACAGGGGATGGGGGGAAATGACAGCCTGGCTAGCAGCAGGGCAGCAGAGGAGGCAACAGAGCTGGAGCAAAAAGCGCAGGTCCAGCCCAAAAGCGTGTCTGAGCACCTCCTAAAACAACAACAAGCCAAGATGGAGATGAAGGACTTTTAATGATGTTACTGGGGCTGAAAACCAGAGAGAACAGCTCATCTCCTGGCGACAATCAGGATACTGCTGCAGGATACTGAAACCAGCAAAGGCTTCCAAAGGTAGGCACAAGATGAAGGTAAGGCTGAGAGGCAATGGCAAGGGTGTAAGGTCAGGAGAGGCCAAGCAGAGAGTCTAGCTCTCCTGGTTTATGAGCACCAGTGCCTTGACCAGGCTTCAGGCACAAGGTTTTTCATTGGAAAAAGCAGCCTCACCTAACAGGAAGAAGACTCACGAAGTAGAAGAGAAAGAGCAAAGGGGGATGGGATTTTTAAAATAAACAAAAGGACAAGAAGATGGATAGCTGCAGCATCCAAACATCTCCCACCACAGACTGTCAACGTCTCTCCAGCAGACCCAGAAGTTTCAAAGCCTGCACTTACTCATTGCCTGAATAGAAGTTTAGCTCCATGGAAAGCACTACAGAAATTTAAGGGCAGGATAAGAGTTTGCAAAACTCAGGCTGCTGACCTCAGCAGTGTAGCTGGAAAAGCCACTTACTCAGCAGCTTGGTGGGGTTGTTTCCTCTGTGCTTTCCAGAAAGCAGGTGGAAATTTTCTTTACTTTTAGATTCAGTAATAAAACTCACACAGCTCTGAGGATGTAACAGTTTGCCTGTACACAAAGTGCTGATCAAGTTATTTTCCAATCAGCTTATTTGCTAAGAAAAATCATTGCACTGAGTGAACTGTTATTTTATCTTCAGCAGCTTTTCAGAATGAAAGTATTTCTAAAAAAAAAAAAAAAAAAAAAAAAATTCCTTGAAGTAGAGGCTGATTAAACAGAACTGTAGGAAAAAAAAAAAAAAAAAAATTCAGCACCATAAGACTTTCCTTCTCTGCTGCTGCTAAGTCTTTTTTTGTAGTATCTAAAAATATTTAAAATAGGTTTCACTGCACATGAACTGTATTCTGTTTTAATAAATAGCTCTGCCTTCCTTACAATCATCTGGACTTCGAGAAAAAAACACCCAAATGAAAAACACTACATCAAAACTGAATGTTCCCTTCAGTCGCTCTATTCAGAAAAACTTCCCGAGCCAGTAAAAATACAGCCCAGAGAAAAAATATCTTGAAAACAAATCTGTGTGATTTTTATCCAGAATAGATATATTTTTTAAAAAAATCCAAGAACAGTAAGAGTAACCACAGCAGTTCCTGTTAACTGCTTTTCTTTTCAGTTTTAAGTAATTCATAACTTACAGGAAAAAAAAATCTCAGATAAAACTAAGTGACTTACTGAACAATGGGGACCAGAGCCTGAAAGCAAGAGTCAGTTTTTGAAAAATACCAACGAGGGTCTAAAGTGAATTCAATGTTGTCATTAAGGAAAGTCAATCAACAGAGCAGCAGAGAGCAGATCCGGAAGGAGCAAAGCGTGGCACTGCACTGCTGGGGAAGGGTGGCAGCAGGTAATGAAGCCATGCCAGACAGCCTGAGCAGCACATTTGCTTTTGGGGTATCTCAGGGTGATTAGCTCCTCAGCAAGCACTGGTTCCTGTGGCACCTTCTGCAGGGGCCGTGTAAACACTCTTCAGGTCCCGGTGTTACTCTCTCAAGCAGCAAGTGACTGAGCAAATGCAGGAATGTTTTTCATGGCATAGACACTTCTGGAAGGAACTCTGCCTTTTTTCATGTTTATTTTTCCACTTTAAGAGCTCAGACTGCTTTGCAGCAATAGCCCTAAATCCACATTCCTCTTGGATGTGGATAAATTTTTATTCACTCTCAAGACAGACTAAAATCCAAACAAAGCAAGGGCTTTTTTTTGGTTGAAGTTCACAAGTAATGAGGATGATGTGAACTGAGGATGCTGAAGCGTAATCAAATGGTGCCCAAGTATTTAAGAGCTTCTGGATCAATGGACTAGACCCAGACATCAAAATCCACTCCAGTCCTTTCTAGTTTTTTAAAGGAGTGCAGATCAAGAGCGGCACCACTATGAATAGTCAGGCACAACTCCTTCTACCTCACCCTCGAGACTAAAGATTACTGCAGGAAGAAAAATAATACCCACAAGATATCCTGCTCTTCAAATTCACACCAGTCTCAGTTCAGAGAGTCACAGGCTTTTATCAGCTGATTTCTGCTACAAAAAACCCATCCTGTCCTACCATCTCTGCATGGCAATACTATTACTTATATATTGTATTTTTTTCAGGGATTTCCTCTATCTAATTCTGAAAACTCAAGTGTAGGTTGGCTGTAAGACTCCAAGATCAAAGTCTTTCCAGGCTCTGTACACATAGCAGAACTTGTGGTAATGGAGTTTCCACTTGGTTACTGTTTTGCACTTTGTGCTTTGTGTTTTCTTCACCATCCTTGAACTCCTTTCCCAATTGAAACTCAAATATTCTGTGTAAGTTCAAATAAAAGACATTTAAAACTGCCAATGGCATTGATGTTAAGACGAGAAATTAAGAGGTTTGATCTTCATCTTCATAATTTGTTAACCAAAAACAGCCAGTCTCTTCCCCAATGCATTTTTTCTTGAAGGAACACAAGAACCACCACCAGTGCACAGCAAAGCCATCCCCAGATTGCTCCAACATTAAACACACCCTGATTCTCTCCTCCCAATTTAAAGATGGTCTGTAGTCAATCATAAAAGCCAACCAAGAGAAAGCAATACAGCACTGTGGATCATCTCTACCACAACACACAATCCCAGATGATCAGAGCAGAGACATTCCATGGAGATCACCTTGTTATTCAGTAAGTCATTCAAAGCAGTTGTGTTAATTTTAATGCTTGGATACATACCTGCAAGTAATTATTTCTGAAAGGCTGTTCCATGAACCAGCATTTATTCTTTTAAGCATGTAGCTGTGCCAGCATTGCAGATGAGCACATGGAACTGTTCCTCTTCAAATGCAAGAGTGGAACTGCATCTGCACTTGTAGTGTTACACAAGTAACTGGCTTCTCAGCATCACCAGCTACTTTTTCTTTCCTGTCTTTTAATCCCTTTTAAACATGCATGCATGGGTGTGCTTGCACATACACACACCACACACTGTATCCCTGTCCTTTATGCAAATATCATCAAGTATTTCCTGATTCTAGAATAAAGTCTGATCCTGACCCTAAAAACAGATGCAATGCTGAATGCAAACCTGTAGGACAAGGGAAATCTCCTAAAGAGAGTTGCCAGATCACCTGCTTCATCTGTACTGCCAGGATTCTTTACCTAGCAGGAACATACCTCCATTTTCTGCATAATAGTTATCTTCATAGACTGCATGTCCCTGGGATTCTGGGTAGTGCTTCTTGTGCTTTTTTTCTTCCTGCAGCTGTAGGAGACGGGCAATGTCCTGAAGAGATGAAAGAAAATACACATTACCTTTCCCTCCTAAAAAGTATTTTCAAATTCTTTTATCCAATTTCTTTATTCAATTCTAAAACTCCTGATAAGTTTAATTTTTCAGACATGGCAATGATGTGGTTACTCTCAAAATTCAAACCCTGGGCTCAATGGGACTTACAACTGTAAGTGACTGACACAAGGGACCATCTCAGCAAGCAGTACCCAACCTCACCCGTGCCCTAGGGTTGGAAGCTTAACAGTGGGCCGACTTGCAGGCTTCTGCTCCACCTGCACACAAGTCTGCATGCACAAAGCAAGGCAGCAGAGACTCCATGTGCAAGCTCAGGCTTTCAGCCAGGACTAGGAACCAAAACAGGCACCCATGAGTGTTCTGGACTTGTCCCCCAGACTCCACCAGGGAAAGAAAAAGACAGGAGCCAAAGACTGTCTCCAACTGACATCCATCTAACTGGAAGGAGTTCCCAGAGCAAAGTCCTGAACTCACTCCAAACTAGCTGTAATTTACAGGGACTGTAGGATGCCAGGCAGAGAAATACATCAATCTGACAGAGAGAGACTGAAGGAAAAGAAAATCGAAAGGGACATTAAGAGAAGCAGACTAGGCACAAGGCAGGAGGAGCACTGGCGGGACTGCAGCTGTTTATCTTCTGTCACAGTTTTGGTAGATATGCCATCAAAGAGAATAGCACTCCATTTTCCTAATTGGTTTTCCTTCTAGATGACTAATGGATCAACAAGGCCTAGCAATAGCAAACAGCTCCCTAGAGCTTGCTCATTTGGGGCCCAGAAGCTTGTGAGTCACTGGAGCTAGGCTGAAGCTAGGAAGAGAAGCTGGAAGATACCAGCAGGACCATGAATGTTATGCATTTAAGCAGGGCATTGGATGTTATTCATTTAAGCCTCCCTAATCCTCAGGAACTTTACATGCATGGCTCTACAAAGCGTACACTGCAGGCAGGAAAGGCATCCCTGAAATGCAAACTAAGAGCCAACACCTTCCAGAGCAAAGCTAGCACTGGAGGACATTGGAAGGCTGTTCAAGTACAAACTATTATTTCAGGATTCCGATGAGATCTGCTCAGCAACCAGCTTTGTGGAGGACCTGGGGTTGCCACAGCCTCTTTACCAAGGGCAACAACAAATCCTTCCCCTGACAAGGCTACCCTCTTCTAGCAAGTACAGTAAGTCTATAAATATATGGGCTTAAGCACATTAGCTCCAGGACTGAGACAGCTCAGGACTTGCAAATCCACACACACCATTTCTCACAAACGGGACTTGTAAGCAGGTAGGCTTAGTGCTTCATTTAAAGTCCCTGCACAGCAGCCTGGATCTGCCTGAAACAGCACTGGTATAACACTGCCAGCCACTGTTGATACCAGAGAGCTATCATATATATAGATATAGATATAGATATGTGTATATATATCTGTCAGGCAGCTACTACACCCTCCTGTGTGACAAATACAAGACTAGGCTGGCACACGTAGTAATACACATACCTGTAGGACATTCTGTCTAGATCCTGTGTTGAGGGCTACAGAAGAGGCTGATGTTTATCACTCTGCCAGCTGACACACATCTCAGGCACTGCACAGCCTCACTCCCATTGCTCAAGCTCTGCATCAGCACAGGAGCCCATGCAAAAGAACTAACACTCGGGGAGACCCTTGGAAAGGAAGCAGGATCAATTCAAGCTCTCCAGAAGTCCTGTGGCAAGGATGGGTGGCAGTGCTACAACCTGGTACCCAGATGCTGAGTATGTTACTCTATCCACAGCTACAGTTCAGCCATGCTGAAGATGGACAGTTGGGCTGAGTGTCCTGCCAAAGTCTTTGCACCAAAGACCAAGAGGTTAAGACGCAGGATTCTCCCAAAAGCAGTACTGTCATCTTGCATTTAAGGAAGCAGGTCTCAAACTGTATCAACAATTACACTCTCCTAGACCAGGGCAATGAGCATCTCAACAAGACCCACTCGTTATCTGCCCTCTTCATTAGCAAGGCCACTGGCATCAACAACCCTTGTGACCCTTGAGCATGAGGACTATAACTATATCTTATTCCTGTAACAAGACTCTCTGAAACCCATGTGCATATTGAGATGTGTGAGGTCTGGGACTGACACCATGCAAGCCGGCTCCTGTGGCTAATGACCAAGAAATGCCAGCACTGAAAGGGCTGCTACAAATAGCCCTGCCATCCGTGCAGCTTTAAAGGTTACCTCGTCGTTCTCCTCCTGCTTGCGGCGCTGCTCCGCCTCGAACACCAGCTTCCCCTGGATTTCCTGAGCGATCTCGCAGTCCTGGCGTTCTCTGCAAGGCAAGGAGACAAGGATTACAGGCAGCTGAAGTCACAGGTGTCAGTCAGCCTGCAGAAAAGGATGAAAGAGCTAAAGAACCACATAATTTACACCAAGGAATTATTACTCAGTATTAAGTGGAGAGACTATGAATCTTCCCTAGGGACCTGGACTCCTTGTACTTGCTGCTGGCCAAAAACAGAAAACAGGTCCCAAAACACTCACAATCGGAGTCCAGAGCAAGAAAAAACAGACTCAAAGGCAGTCTGCTAAGAAAGGAGGTAGGTCCCATGGGATAGGGCAGGCCGTAGCAGTGCACAGGGGTCTCTGCAAACAGTCTAATTATGCTGAGGGGGTTTTGCACAAAATGCCAGAGGTGTTCAGGAATACAGTTAATGCTGGCACTTCTGAAAAGTGGTTGTGAAGTGAAAGCCAAGAAGGAGAAAGTGCAGATATGCTGATAGCACAACACAGTATGTAGGCTAAGCACAGGCTGGAGGTGGCAGCTCATTAATGAACAAGGAATGCCTCCAAGGTGGGATGAGACAAAAGCAGAACCCAGTGCCAAGAGGCAGGAGAGTGATATGTGCCAAAACAGGGGGCAAGGGAACAATTATCCATTGCAGATGCAGAAGCAACACAATATTGCATTAACCTGGGACAGAAGAGATACCAGAGTAGCTGAGACATGAAGTGACAGTTTAGTCTGTGCAGGCTGTATTTCAGGGGCGTCATACAGAAAGCATTTACAAGAATTGAGCCATGGGCTCTGATGCCCAGCAAACAGGCTGGAACGATGGTCAGGGGTTCCTTAGGGCAACCCAGAGACAGGCTGGTGGACTTGAGAAGAAAGATTGAGAGCTCTCTCAGCACTGTTGAAATTGAGCCAAAGACTAGCTCCAAACAGGTCAGAAAAATCAATCTAAGCTATCTCTGCAATTAAGACTACTGAAAGGCAAGGCACAGAAGGAGATGAGAACTGGAACAGCAACAGGCATAGCTTGCCTTATTAGAATACACTGACAACGACAGATAGGTGACAAGAGGACTACCAAGAGGAAATTACAGAAGTCAAGCAAATATTTCAAGAGAATCAGGTTCAACTATGTCAAAGTTGTGCTGCGTGGGCTGGAGCAACTAATTCTAGGCTTGAGCAAGGATCAGGGCATAAAAGACTTGCAAAATTGGAAGCCAAGGACTGAAAGAGAGTCTAGGACACAAACGTAGGAAATTAAACTGGTAAGTACAGACAAGCACTTTCAATAGCAAACAGAAAAGTGTCATGGCTGGAGCAGTCTAGTGGCACCAAAGAGCCTTCTCTCATTCTTCACTTGCTATAAAGAAGTAGAAAGACTAGATATGTGGCTTAGGGTGGGGAACAAGAAGAGGATTTAGAGGACAAAGGTGATCAAAAAACAACTAATCTGTCACAGGGAAGGAAAAGAAACATACAGCAGGAGGAAAAAGAAGCTTCTTTATTTCTGTCAACTGCTCCTTGGAAGCAGACTAGCAATTTGGTACTGCACACTATTTATAACCTCTTCCCCAAATACACAAGAACCCCAAGTCAGCGTCACAACATCACATTTCCTTCCCTTTCCCAGAGCACCACACTCACAAACACTTGTGCACATCCATAAACTGATACACCTACAGACACCCCGGAAGGCACTGGGGAATTCCAGTGTTCGTAGGGCTGGAGTTATCACCAGGTCCAACACCTTCAGACATAAGTTTCTTGCACTCAGGTAATAAACCCTGGCATTTTGTTTGTGTGCCTCTGTGCGTTTCACTTTACTCCAGGGACAGACTTGTTCAAAGGCAGACAAGTTCACACAGCAGCAAAGCCAGTTCTTGAATCTGCCGTATAAAAAGGGACCTTGGCAAACCTGGCACCAGCAGGGACCTACAGTCCCCAGCAAAACAATAGCTAAGCATGATGCAATTCCTGGGGAGCAGGCTGTCAAAGGGCTTAAGATAGCAGACCCCTTATGACCCCTGTCTCAGAGGACATGAATCCAGGTAGAAAATAAGTCAGAAAGGTCAGCTATATCAAGGCGTCACACGTCTCCAGTTCCCCCATCACCTGTGAACAGTGCTAAGGTGCCAAGTTTATCAGCTAAATGCTTAACTTGCTAAATGCTTCAAATATATTTTATTGCAGACAAACAGGCGACAGAAAAAGCTAATCATCTTTCAGAGCCAGCAACAAGGTCATTGCCTCTCCATTTGCAGCAAAGAACACTACAAGTAATGCACGAGTAGAATAATTTTATTTTCTTCCTCCTTATGACATGCCTCGTGGAATACGCCAGATCACTCTCTAAGAATCACTGAAGAGCAACAGAAGATTAGATTTTGGATTTTATTGCTCAGTGGTAGTTAAATACTGAGACTTGATTAGTTATCAGCATAAGCTGATCTAACATAAGTGTTTTAACTTGTCTGAACATAAGAAAAGAGGTTGAAGAATTTTGACAGCTCCTTTTGTCCTTCAGTTTTAGTGTGATTTAAGTGCACATCGGTCCCTAGAAATCAGCCAGAGCAACATAAACACCACCACCCCTGAACATCACATCCATGTGTCCTTCATTCCTGGGCAGCCAGGAATGTCTCAGGGAAAAGGGAAACTTTTTTTTCCTCACATTGATGTAACGGGATCAGAAAGCTCCCACTCACTTGGGCTGTCACAACTAATTGTTGCCAGACGAGGAGAGGGCTAAAAAAGTTTTAAGGGAACCATTCAAAGAATTGTTCACATTTAGTGTAACAGAACCATCACAATACTGGGAGCAAAACAAGGAAAGAACGTATTTTCACAGTATTTCCAACAGTTATTTTAGCAGCCTTGCTACTCTGCTTGGCAGTGTGCAGGCTGCTCAGCTAGGTGTGAGAGATGCTTTTAAAGAAACAGGAAAATAAGGTTTGATGCTTCCATGAATTCTTAAAAAGAGAATAAGAGTTATTTCTATGTGTTCAGTTTTTTCACAAAGTCTCTGAGAGAATCTGAGATTTCAAAGACAGAAAAAAACCCATAAACTTGAAGAGTTTTTTTTACATTCCTTTTTCCTAAAGGCCACCCAGCTCTACCCCTTAACTCCCCCCGTCACCTTGAATTGTCAAACTATCCCAGACCATACAGAAATCAACAACAGTGAAGATTGTTTTGTTGCCGGAACATGCTGATCTTGCACTAGGAGGAGACAGTGGGAATGTACAATGAATTAAGGAAGAAAAAGATCCAATTACAAAAGGATACCTCCGAATTTTTTTTTTTTTTTTTTTTTTTTTTTTTTTTTTTTTACTATTTTTGCAGAAGAGCTCATGCTTGCAGGACCAGAACTGCTGCTGACTCAACATTTTGCATCAGCAGTTCTCCTGTAACTTGGCTCACAAAGTTTGTAAATCCCATTTTACAGAGTCCTACAACAAGAAAACTGCTTGCAGTTCCCAGCAAGCAACAAAAAGGAATCATCTGCCATACCAAATTGATTTTTATGTTGTCATTTACACGCTTACATCTCTAATTGGTAATGAAGATGAAACTATTGAAAGAAAGCACAAACTTGAGAGACACACATGTATCCACCCAGTGCTGCCAAGTATGCTGGGAACATTGACGACAGGGGCTGATCTGTCACGCCCCAGCTTCAAAGCTTTAATGAGAAGCTCCTTTGAAGCCAGCCTTAAATCTCACACATCTGCAAGACAGAGCTCTTCTGCTCTGTCACTGTCTCTGCCAGATGAGCCACCCAGGGTCTGCAATCCACCAGCAACAGTACCTGGTGGGTGGCATCACAGAGCAGGACACAGGCCAGGAGGCAGCACAGGGAGATGCATCCTGCCTTACAGACCCTGTGTCAACATGCTTCAGTGTCAACTCTGGATTGCAAAGTACAGTTCATTCTGCCCTGCACTGTCGTGCTGTATTCTATACTATCTCTATAGCATAAAAGCCATGGCACACAAAGCCAAATCACAGGCCACAGGGTTAGTTCTGGTGTGTGGGACCTGAGCAAACTGGAGCACTCACTGAACATCTTCCCACAGCTGCTGCACAAGTCTGTGACTGCAAGAGAAGGCCTGTCCCCCAACACCCATCTCCACCAACTGACTCTAGGGCAGCAGCTCCTCATCCCAAGTCACTTCACACATCTGTGAGCACAAGTAGAGGCTTTCAGCTGCTCAGTGCAGCCGGACAACGAAAACCACTGCACCCAGCTCCTCAAAAGCACTCATCAAGCACAATGCAAACAGGCCAATATCTGCAATTTCCACAAGACAGAATTCCCTGTAACACACTGTATTTCTGCGGCGCAGTTTCTTCTTTCTCAGACTTTAGCCAGGGACAAGTTCAAATCAATGCAAGTGGCCAAGTTGCCCCACTTTGCCAAGAGGCAGCAGAACAGGAAGGCTCCTTCCCATGGTCAGGCAACAGAATCTATGTCAGGATGGGCCCCTGTTCACCTACTCCCAACCCTGTTCTCATTACTGTGTCAAAGCCTAGTATCAATATTTTTACAGCAGCAGATAGCCAAAAGAAAAAGGAAACAAAAGCAAAAGTCTGATCAACCCAAACCCCACGTACTATTAATCGACTCAAATCAAAGGAGCTGACTTCAGTGCTCTGACCAAATGGGACTAGCATTTCAATAGCTCCATCCCAAACTTACAAGTCTTTTTGGTGTTTTTGAGCACGTGCTTTCAGATCCTCTTCTTTCTGCAGTTGCTTGGCCACCCGCAAGTCATGTTGTACCAGACGATTACGCTGAACGTTCGTTGCCAAGTGATGCTCAACTGGAAATAAGCACAGACAAGAACCCCCAAATCAGCCTGCAGAACTTCACTGTGTGAACAAGACAAAGCAAGTGAGAGGGAGATTCCAGGACAGAAATGAAGACTGTTCTTGGTAGGGAAATATCTTGTAATGTCTCTAAAGGTGGGGAAGTCCTGAACTGAAATTACAGTAGCAGCTTAAGATTACCTCGCTTCAGCACCGAGGGTGCTGTAGATGTGTGTCTGATACAAAAAAAGAAACAACACAAAGATCTGTGTATCTTAATCACATCCAAGTTTTTTAGGATTTGAATTCCATTTTCTGGCTATGGAAAACTATCCTAGATTAATAAAGTGGACAGGGAAGGAACCACCAGAGCCCAGCGAGGATGGGTTGAACCTAACACCTCTGATGGATGCTTCCCTAATTTGTTCTCAAGAACATCTAGAGGAGGAAACTCCTTTCCCTCTCCACATAATCAGTTCCAGAATCTCAGTAACTTTATATTTAGCAACAGAGCAACTGAACACTACAAGTGAGTCCTTTACCATACATGGAGTCTGCCTGCAAGAAAAGATGGCTACATGAGCTGCAGCTGAGAGCCATTTTAATTCAATGGTCTCGGGTTCCAGTATCAAGGGCACCACTTCAGCACAAGCTGCACGCTTGGTAAAGTAGCTGGAATGGTCTTAGCACCTACCACAGGGAGATACCAATGGTCTTGGCACTGAGTAAAGCGCATTAGAGGCCACCACACCTGAAACTAGAACACAAATGTACCCAAAGTAACAGACAAGCATGTAAGAAAAAATAAAATTAAAAATCACCAGTCACTTTGACACTCTTGGCCTTATTTTTCCTCCTTTTCAAACCCTTGTAGTGTACAGCTGCCTTAGTCCAAAATATCTCCTTTCAAAAGGCAGACACTAGCAATTCTGAAATAAGTAAATAAACAGACATCTTCTGGTTGCACCTCAGGTCAGCCTATAAAACTGCAAGCTTCCAAAACTGCTAGTCATTTCTAAAAACCTTGCACAGCAACAGAGCCTCAAGTTCACTCCTACACGCAACTTTATCATAAACAGCATGAACAAACTCAACTCTAAAGGAGAGCACAAAATTGAAACATGAAACGCAACTGTCTCTAGGGTACAATGTGAGCTGGGGCAGAACACAGTTGTGTTACAGGAGAATGGAGATACTAACAATAATCAGGACTCCATCTAAAAGAATAAAAGTGATATAAAAGCAGGGAAGATTTTGCTTAGCAAAATCAAATAAAGCTGGGTATCTGTTGGGACAAATTTGCTCCAGTTTATTCCAAAGATTGTTACTACTTACTCTCTTGCTCCTGTAAGTTATGGGCCAAGGTATGATCCTCCAGAATAGCAAAGTCTCGACACACTGGGCAAGGAAACACAGAAGAGAGAATTAGTATCAGGAGTTAAAAAAATAAAATAAAGGCATCAAAAGAGCTATGTGGGCTGGGGGAGCATAGAAACACAGACTTCTGACACACTTTCTACCAGCCCAGTTTTGGACTTGTGGTTTGGGGTTTTTTTCCCCCTCCCCCTCCTGCACTTGTGGCTATTTTTGCATGCACTTACTTCTTCATCCCTGTTTGCATAAAAAGCTTTCTCCACTCTCCTCTCTATCTCCACTTTGGTTTAAAATCATAATTGGCCATGCCACCACAGAATGATGAGAGCTCGTGTACAAAGCCCTGTATTCCACCCAGATTCACAGCAATGCCCATGCTGACCAGGTTCAACTAAAACCAAGGGTCTGAGAGTAGTTTCCCCCTACAGAGGCACAGGCACACTGTCACCTCGGTGGAGCCGAGCAGACTGAGCTCCATGGCTTTTGCTGCAAGGCATTTCAACCAGCTTGGGAATCATTTTACAATTGTCTCTTGTAAACTTCATTGACTTTTGAAAAGGCAGATGATGGTTTAAGCCCAGGTATGAGATCAACCACACTGTTACTGGCAGGGATAAGCACAGCTTCTTAAAAAGATGCTGAAAACAGCCCAGACACAAGCTAAATGAGCAAAGGACGAGCTCCCTTTGGCACCAGTCTGAAAGTGAAAGCAGCAGATTTTTGCCAATGCCTATCACTTTCACACTTGAACTTTCAAAGGAATGCTCTACCCACACCATAGAAAAACAGCAGTGTTTATTTTTAACTTGCTATGATAGGCAGCAGGGCAACAAAGCACAAGTCACATACATATTGGGACAGGGACACACACACAGCACCTGGTTCATCCTTCTGGTAGCAGGTACACATCAGCTTCTCTGTGAACCAAGGACAAATTGTGACCTGTGCCCCCAAAGTGCAGGATTGGGCCCTGTTTGGCACACCTGCCATTCACAGGGCTCTCATCTGCTTCAAGGAGAGTTTAAGGCAGGAGCACTGAAAACTTTACACTAGAGTGATCTGTCACTTTTTTTTCCCCTCAATGTGACAAGCTGAGCAGCTTAATAGGACTCAAGAGGGGAATTAACTATTTGAAACATACAGCACAGAGAACTACAAGCTGCCTCCAAAGCTGCAGAGGAGGTACAAGCCACTGCCACTGTGCTCCACAGGTAAAACCTCTGGGGAAGACCGAGGTTTCTCTTTAGCAGAGCACAGTGACAGCCTAGAAGATAAAGTAAAAATAACCCCCAAGCCCCTGGAATGTACCAAAACTACAAGTGGAATTTATGAGAAGCCCATTTATGAAAGGGTTCAGAGAAGATAAAATATTTTCATCACCGCGAAGGGTGGAAAATACAAGGAAACGAGAAGGTAGCTGCAGCTTCCTGAGCCACAGCCCCACGAGCCTTCCTTCTTCTCAAACTCACACACATGCTCTGCTAGAGAAGCATCGAGATGCTCCTCTGTGCCCACTTATCTTCACAAAACATCTAGAAGAGTTTCTAGTTGTGTGTACCAAGAGGTCAGATAAATGATTACTCCTGTTATCGTATTCAACAGAATTTCTGGCTGAGTTTTTCTGAGAGTGTTACAGATGACAAAGGCTCCTAACAGCGAGAAGGAAGAAGGGAGCAACAAGCTGCTAGCAGAGTGGAGATGAGGACAAAGATTGAAGTTATATGAACCCATGGTGACTCACTTGAAGCATGTACAATTCTGGACGGTGCAATTAAGGTTTTGTTGTTGCTTTTTTTAATTGTAACTTCTTTTAAAAAAGGAAAGAGGATACAAAACACTAAACAGCACTGAAACACTTCAGTGAGCATTGGTGTATAAATAAAGAAACACTGCCTTCAGGCACAGCTCTGGAAAAGCCACAGCTGAGGCACAGGCTGCAGTGCTGCTCACAGGTGACATACCTATGGTGCTTGGTGGGCATAAGCACATTTTTATGGGAGTGGGCAAGGGGATCTCGCCCATAGAGACTATTTCTGTGGCCCCTAAAGCTACTTCAGCTTCCTATTGTGATAGTGGAACCACCACATTCTGCTTACAACACGCACTATCTGGCCTGCTGAAAGGGCACATCCAACTCGAGAGGTTTGAGCCCTAGTGTCAGTTCAGAGCCAGGCAAAGACACCTCAGTAGAGAGCCACAGTCTGCCTAAATCTAGGGCTGTGCTTTTATCCCTACATAGTCAAGAAGTATCACTTTCTCCAGACAACTGGAAAGAAAAAAGGGAATTTTATTTTTAACTGCAATAGATCTCTCAGGAGGTCCACTACACAGCTGCCTGAGCTACCAAGACAAGGTGGCCAACACAGGAGCAAGGATGAACGCTTCAGAGGTGCATTTTTTTTGCATGAAGATCATTGCTGTAAGGAATCTTTATGAACCTGCACCCCAGTCTTTCTCCACTCCACTCTGCAGGTCCAGACACTACTCTCATTCCCATGGTATTTGAGCTCTGCCTTGCTGATCACAGTGCTGATGGTGCTGGCAGACCTTTGTTCCATCCTCCCCAGAGAGGCACATGTGCAGAGGAGGACTTGAGTTTGTCTCACTCTATTCTGCTCACACCCAGACACATTTTTCCGTTTATTTTGGAAAAAACATGTTACCAGAAATATGTTTGGTGAACAGGCAAGAAAGTGGGAAGGCCAGAGAAAGACACTGCTGCTCCTGACAGCCTTGGACCAACCACCAAAAAAGTCATCTCCTCCAGTGAGCTTCATTCTTCCAACACAGCAATGACTGTTTAACCCTTTTGATTGACTGGCCACTAAATCTTTCTAAAGCAAGCATGGACTCAAAATAAAAAGGTTAAGTGCATATACTGTTGTGTTGTATAGATGGGCCTGCTTCTTCTAGCTCCTCCTCCGGAGATCTGCTCGAAGTAGTACATGGGTCTCCAAAATTGAACAAACAGGGGAAAACAAAGAAAAACTCCTCTGGTCCTCACTTCCTACAGGCCACAGCTGAAAGCTGCTGGATGCCAGAGACAAAAAGGGGACCAAGGTTTCTGTCTTGATTGTTTCGGCTCTTCAGGAAAGGTCTGCTCCAGTTGGAGCTCAGTGCCTGGGCCAGGGAGCACATACAGACCAGAGTACCACCACAAGCACTTCCCAGCCCAAATCAGCCTAGCTCAGATCCAGTGCCACCCCTCACACAACCACACAGCACCCAGACCTGAGGCTGTGCCCAGCCACCGCCTGCCCTGTCTAAGCACAGGCACAAAGCAAATGGGGACAGTGCCCCTGGATGAGCCACGGAGCTGCAGAGCCTAGACATGAATACAGGGGTTGGGTCTGTATGCTGGAAGCTCTCAAGTGTCTGGGCTCCACAGTGGACACCTTGCAGAGGAGGCTGGCAGGGCAGCAGCAAGCCTTGGGTTTGCTCACATGTTTGGATTTATTCGCGCACTGCTGAAGAAGCCACTTCGTTGCATACACACTCTTGTTAAGCTGTTCTTACAAACCCTTGAATGGGTGGCTCAAGCACACAGGCCTCACTGTGCTGCTGAAGCTGCTGGCAGGGCAGACAGCACAAGACCTTTTGTCACTGTCAGAAACTTGGCTGGGCTCACCACCTCCAACTCATCTGAGCACATCATTCCCAAGCTCCATCAGCCTGAGAACAACATGCTAAGGAAGATGAGAACATTCCATTACAAACACAACGAAGCACTCTCAGCCAGCCAGGTGGCAAGAGATGGGGACACCTGCAACTCCCTAACAAGTCTAGGGGCAATGGCAAGTGCAAAGCACTCCCACAAGACTAGACCCAGCCCTCATGGCACCGAGTCAAGCATGACTGCAGCAGCAAGCCAAGGCCAAGGGACCAACCCTCTGTCCTTGAAGACACACATCCAACAATGAGTCAACTACGAAATAATTGGAGATGTGGCCCAGTCAGGCATTGCCTGAAATGAAGCTTCATTGGTGCTAGTCCTCAGCCCCTGCCCAGCCCCAGCACACCCATTACCAGGCATTATGTGCACTGGATTTGTGCTGAGAAATAGGGTGACCCCAATGACAATGCAGAGAGTCACAATTCCTCCTCTCCAAGAGGCTTTCTATTTGAGGGGAAAGAAGTCTCTTGCCTTATTCCCTAACTGTATGCCTAAAAAAAAAAATGAGAGGTATGATTAATGCCAGCGTTCACTGCTGCAAATCAACTTGACTTCCCACCCCCAGGCCCTGGCCCTGAGCCATCAGACAGTCAGACAAGCAGCAGGGGTGCAATCAGAGCAGCTACAATTGGCAAGTCCAGTGAGGCATGAAGCATTAACAACAAGTTTACCATAGTCTGATTAAGCCAATCTGCCTTGGCGCAGCAGGGAGCAGGGCTGGGCTATGTGCTCCTGGCACAGCTGCCAGGGAAAGACATGCCTGCTCAGGTAATGCCAGCCGCTGCCACAGCCAGCAGAGGTGCCAGCCAGGGAGGACAAGGGCAGAAGCACGTCTGGAAGCATCATCCTTTGCAGCAGTGGTGGGCTGCAAAGTGCATGCAGCAGCATTAAAGACAGAGCTCGCTTGCTTGAGGGATCCTCAAGAGCCCCTCTGCAAGTCCCAAGCACATATCTTCCCCCCTGGTTTACACCCAAAACAGGCCTTTCTAAGTATCAGCTCATCTAAGGCTCTTGCAAGCATGGTCACAAGCCTGGCTTTTATGTCTAACACAAAAATGTCTCTAGGTGCAACAACTTGGCAAAATTTCCTTTTCTGCATTCTGACACTTGCCTCATTAGCTCTCTTCAGCATTACCTCAGCTCCATAGCTCAGCATTTCCTACACCAAACTGCTTCAAAGAAAGTGAGGTAACCACAACAGAGAAGTGATGGCAGCCTTAGATGTTGCTAGAGGTACTAAGGTGTGTGACAAAGAGGTAGGTAATGTCCAGGAACATGCAGTGTGAACATGAGGTCAAACGCATTTTTCAAGCAAGGCTTAGAGCAAAACACCTCCAGCCCCCTCTTCTGCCTAAAGTCTCAGACCATGTTTTGATATCCGC